CTGAGAAATAGGCAAATTGATTTATTTGCTGAGCTTCGCCCAACTAGAATACAATTCGGTTACTATGTTTACCAATAACAAAGTCCCAGTTCAGACCATATTTTTCAAAATGAAAATTGTTGCAAGCTTTTAACTCAAACTAGGCTTAGACTGTTTTGGTGATGTTTCATCATTGTGCTCGCACAAATAGTTATTTGTGCTTAACTATTAAAACTCCTACATCTCAAAGAATTATGCCATTTTATGTGCTCGATCCATTTGGATTAAAAAATAAACAACTTTACATTTCATTTACACTAGGTGTAAATAACCGTAAAGTCGACTCACAAACTATACGCAAGGTTTACGCTGGCTTTACGCTCCTTTCGTCTAAAGCTTCCTTTACTTACCCTTACGTAGTACGTAAAGTTAACGTAAATCTTCGTACAAAACTTTACGCAGATTTACGCAACATTCAAGTCTTCGTAAATCGTGATTTTCATGCTGTGATTCGATTCCTTCAAGCAATGTTATCGCGAATTCGATCTTTTAAGGACCAATGTTCCAGGGGTCTCGGCAAATTGGAAATGATCAGCCAAAATTTTTTTTCTCTTCATATTTTGTCAAGTAGCATGAGATTTTTCGGAGAGGATTTGCTATATCTGATCCCCACTTTTCATTTAGAAGCGTGTTCAAAGAAAACTTGAACAATATCTTTCTTCTTGTCCTTGAACTCAACTTATAAGCTCAGTTATAATATCCTGAAGATCTTTGATTTCCATCTTAGGGAAATTTTCCATTGTTTTTCAGTTAAGTTGGTAGTTGACACACGCCGAAACTTAGAAAATAGCGAGGAGAGTCGAGTTCAGCGTTTTGCATGGACGAAAGAAAGAACAACGACTGACAACAACAAAACAATAACGATACTAAAAGCCTCAGCAAGTACTTTTATTCTAAGGACTGACTGCACTGTCACAGCAACAACGGAGACTTTAGAAGATAATTTCTAATTTTTTCATTGTTCTTGAACGTTCACCTCCTAGCTAAGATGCTAAGGAAAATGGTGTTTATGAAACTGAATGCGACAAGAGAGTTATACCAGTGTTATCCTTTATTCCCTTCAGCCCGCCTTTGATATTTGGTTACATCTCTACCTTAGCTGTATTTAAAAAAAACTCAGTTGATCATCATTTACGACTATTTTAAGGAAATCGGCTCAAACTAGGTTATTTTTCCTAGTTATACTTATCTAATTTTAAAATAGAAGTGTACTGACCCTTCTAAGATTACGTAATCGAATCAAGTGTCTCTAATTCTGAGATTAGAATCTAGTTTTACGCACGTATCAATGTATCAGTTGTATGGAATAGAATCTAAAACGTCTTGAAGAAGTGTTGAACTCTCTATCTCACCCAAGTAGATAGTCTTTGGAAGTTTCTGGGAGTATTTTCGTTTCTCACTTATAAATTAGGCAGTAAAAATCAAAAAATTGTCAAACCTTATGAATTTTTACCTATCATTGATAAGTCAAGACTCACAAACTACAGTCAGATTAAGCCCCTTCAACCTTTTTTATATCGAAATATTTAGGAAAACAGCAAACGAGACCGCCCTCTCGCTAAAGAAAAAGAAAACATGGGTGCTTGAGACTAATTTGATAGGTCTGCTTGTCAGGCAATCAAGCCAAATGGTGTATTGAATTCAAGTATGGTATTATTTTTACTGGCATTCACGATGAAGTTATGATGACAGTGATGATTCAACGGAGATAGAAAACCTCCACCTCATCAGGTGTGAAGTGGTAAGTCCCAGCCAGGATTGTTTTTCTGTCCTTTACCCCACTTGGGACTGAATAAGAATGGCCAAAAAGTGTGTAGGATCTTGTGTTACTGTTTGCATTATCTCGGATACAAATGTCGTGACCAAGCCCAAATGTCGGACCATAAACTGCCAGCCTGTAGATAGCATATGTAGGATTAGTCACCAGACTCTTGAATGGTGCTAGTCCTTCTTTATTTCGGAGAGAGAATATGAACGCCTCGGAAGTACTTGTCCAGCCTCCACTGGACTCTAAAGAATAAGATGTGAAATAAGCATATTACTATACGATTTTAAACTAAACCTCAACTTCCTTTAGCCGTGGTAAAAAAGAACTTAATTTCTTTTCGTATGAATTCCTTAGGAAGCACGATACGTTTCGGCGCACCGCAACCCTGATGGCGAGGGCCTAGTTGAGGATGAACCTTCAAAGATTGGCAAAGAATATGTTTTCTTTTCTTTGATTTGACCCAGACCTGGCAAACAAAACGTGCTCGCGGACACTATTTGGGGAAAAAGTAACCGAAAAACTATTACTTCGAACTCCTTGCGAAGCCGGCAAATCTTTTTCCTGAGAACAAGAAGGGTTCATTGGCTGGTGGCTCACGATGTAAGCGTAGTGTTGACATTAATTTTCGCGAGGGCGTAGAATGCTTCTTAGTTTTCAGAAAATGAAAATTCGCAATATGATATCGACGAGAAACCTCTCTTTAAAAAATTAATAACGTTTGCAGAATGGACGGAATCAGAACCAAAGCACAATTATGCTAAAAAAGATAATGAGGCAGAAGGCGTTCCGTATCCTATCATGAATTTATAACTTTGTTAATTTTTTGGTTCAGAATGTGTGAGCTAAAGCAAGACTGTCTCAACAAACACACCTTTAGGTCCGTCAAGCTGAAGTAAAAGCAAATATAATAAAAGGCTATCTTTTTACCCCAGGAAATGTCTGTGTATCCTCCAAACACGTAGTGTCCTACTTTTATGATGGAGACTGTGTCCCGTTTCCCATCACACCTGCTGTGGAAGGTACTTGCTAACCACCCGTGAGTGGAGGCGCGGTAACAAAGCAAGAAATTGGGATAGCTTCCGACTGCAGGTTTCAGATACTGATTTAGGTGACGTTGATAGAATAAATTGCCCGCTAATATAGTTGAGGCCTGCAGAGGCCCTGAAAAATAAAATAGAACAAAACTTGTCTTGTTAAAAGCTTCTAAGCAATTTCCCAACCCTATCCGTAGTTGCCTGCATGTAAACGACAACAGAGGCGATAACATCAGCGAAAAACGACTCGTGGTTTACTGGGATCCTTTATTGTAAGGATAACAAGTTTGAACTGTTCCTTGCGCGCGGCAATGAGAGGATACAAAAAGTGAGTTTGAAGTCATGTAAACAACTTTTGCTTTTCTCTCGGGTTCTCGTGGCACTCACCCAAATCATGATCGCAGGCACTTCAAACAAATTCAGTTTAAGATTGTCATCAAAATCAAGTTTTCTGACCTGGTGGAATATAATGTAAGGTAATCAGAACGGTGACAGATCCAAGCTTGTTGCTGGCTTTACACTGATATGTACCAACGTCTAGAGGACCAAAGTTGGCGATGTTAAGGGTACCATTCTTAGTAATGGAGGTCCGGCCTTGTGGTAACGGGACAAATCCTCTTGACCAAGCTATAGTTGGTGGCGGAAAACCAATAGCACGGCAACGAACAGATGCAACTGAGTTTGCCAGGACTTTTATCAACCTATCTGGAGTATGGATGAATCTTGGGGGAACTAGAATTCGGGAAAAAAAAAACTAAATGACCGAGATAATAAACTAACGAAACATGAGTGATGTGGAATGAAGTGTCACCTTCAACAGTAAATTTCACCGCCTTCTGAGCTTTTCCGAGAACACTAGTGGCCGTGCAAACGTAGCTTCCGGAATCATTATACTTGGCATTTTTAATCTGCAGCCTAGCATCCTGACTATTTATATTGACTTGTCCTGCGCTATTCATTTTCCACCAAGTTACTGTTGGTTTTGGGTTACCGTAGGCTGAGCAGTAGAACGTGGCGGTCTGGTTCTCTGTGATTGTGAGCGAGGCAGGAGATACATTTATGTTTGGAGCAGCTATGGACTGGCCTGGTTCACCTTTAGGTCCCGGAAGTCCAGGAACTCCTTTGTCGCCTTAAAAGAATATAGACAGGCATGTAACAAACGCCTTCAAGTGTAGGGAATGTCCAACAAGCGTCGGATTAAAATCATCTGGTGTAATAAAGATTGGCTCTGGAGACAGAAGGAAACCTTCTCACCCTTGCAGATTGCTTTCATTTTACACTGAATGATAAAGTTGTACTCGGCAATTAACCTACAGATGAAACTTTGAATTCTCTTATGCTTTGGCTTGAGCGCATTCAAGAGATCTACTTCCAAGAGATCCATATGATCTCTTGGATGTGGTTATAAATCTAAAGTGATTTTCCGCTTCTTTTGTTCCTAAGGATGATGAGTATAAAGAATAAGGAACGACAGAAACAAAGTGGGAATCATAGATTTATACCTTTTTCTCCTTTCATTCCAGGATTCCCAACATCTCCTTTCATTCCTTGTTTACCAGATTTGCCAGGTGGTCCCATAACTCCTTTCGTTCCCGTCTTTCCATTAGATCCCCTTGGACCGCGTCTACCGCGATTTCCCGGAGTTCCTTTTAGACCCCGAGGTCCTGCCACGCAAACTTTACCAGGGGAGAGGCAGTGGGTTCTTATGGACTCAGTAACAATAGAGGTCACGTACTTCCTGAATGCAGCGTCGGATTCTCCTCGATTAACTGAGTCGCTCCGGTTGGCAGTTAGGCTGCGACGAGCAATTTTGACGTCGTGTTTCCTACCTACAAAAAACTGCAATGGTTAATGTTTTTTGAAAATTTGAGGGAACTATTTACCCATTTTAACATTGATTATATAAGATTTAAGCCGTACAAAGTGCTTCCTGCTTCAGTTTCATGACTGAAAAAAGGAAGTCACATTTTGTTGCCACTTAACGAGGGGGGCATTGGGGGTTTTGCCTATTTTTTAGATCAGTTTTTTTGCTTTTTGTGCCAAGAAACGTCGGTATTTTCGGTTTTGTTATTCATTGGGTTTTGCGGATTTTCCGTTTTCAGCCTTTGGTTTTCGGTTTTCGTCAAAGATTTTGACGGGTAGTCGGAATTGGTATACGATGTGCTTTTTCGGTTTTTCTTATTGGAGTTCCGGTTTCTCTTTGATCTGAGCAGCAGTTATACGTCTCTGCTGATCCCGAATTGCCGTGAAACCTATGTTGCTATGAAGAGTTGTGTTACAGTGATAAGGAACTGGATGTACGAAAATCGAATTTTGATGAATGAGACTAAAACTAAGTTTCTGTTGATTGGAACGAAGCAGCAGCTTGCTAAAGTCAATGTAGATCATGTGAAAGTCGGTAATGCAGATATAGTCCCTCACTCACCTGTCAAAAATCTCGGAGTGGGGTTAGATTTGAATCTGTCTATGGTAGAGCATATTACTAAGGCTAGTTCCGCGGCGTTTTTTCGTTTATAAACAGTCGTAGAATTAGAAAATATCTTTCCAGGGAAAACACGGAAACCCTGATTCATGCTTTTGTATCTAGCAGAATTGATTATTGTAACAGTCTACTGTATGGAGTAACGGCTGATAGTTTCGAAAGAAACTGTTTGGGGCTGCGTCGGTGGGAGTAACGAAATAATTTGGATATATCAACAAAGTTGGAACGGTAAATTGGCCACCGTAACGATTACAAAAGCTGACGTTTCGAGCGTTAGCCCTTCGTCGGAGCGAATAGAGGAATTGTGGGTTGTGTGTGCTTTTAAAGGCAGAAAATGGAGCTACGTTATTGGTGGGTGCATGGCAACGAGAAAAATATGAATAAATTAGTGGAATGAAAAGCGTTCATTGATCCCTGTGGGATTTAGACTGCCGGTTTGAAAGATGAGCTTTTGTTCAAGATTTTTACGGCTTTC